TCAAACGAGAAAACTATTAGGCAGGGAATTATCAAAAGAAGTAATACCAGCCAAAACCGGTTTGGCTCAGTGGTAGAGCGTCGGTCTGCGGACTGAAAGGTCCCAGGTTCGATTCCGGTCAAGGGCATGTACTTCGGTTGCGGGCACATCCTCGGTAGGGGGTGTGCAAGAGGCAGCTGGTCGATGTTTCTCTCTCATCAGCGTTTCTAGCTCGCTCTTTCTCTCTCCCTTCCTCTCTGTAAAAAATCAATAAAATATATTTAAAAAAAAAAAAAAAAAGTAATACCAAAAAAATCCCCAAGAGTAAAAGCCTCTAAATCAAGCATGTCACATTCACTGCCTGCAGGCCACATGCAGCCCAGCCAATATAATGGTATGTAAGAAATGTTTTAATAAAAATTTTGTAACTTAATTTTTACAATATCTTACACAATTATTAATAACAAACTACAACGTTCACTAATGACTAATTACTGTAATTGTGTTGCATTCATTTCCCTTACATGCAGGCACACCATTTCTCTACTAATACTACCGTGTTTCCCCTAAAATAAGACATCCTCCAAAAATAAGACCTAGCGCATGGAAAGATAAGACATCCCCTGAAAATAAGACCTAGCGCAACTTTGGGAGAAAAAATTAATATAAGACACTGTCTTATTTTCGGGGAAACAGGGTAGCAGTGAACATTTTAGCAGCCAATGGCCATGTTATTAGTCTTGTACTGACTTGTTTGGTGTGTACAACAGGAAATATTTCGCTTTCAGAAAACAAGAAAAATAGGTTTATTTGCATTATGCTTATTAATTTGTACAGTTATTTGGTGTCTGGTAAGTTAATGTTCAAAACAAATATTAAATTTTTATTAAAATGTTCTATTATTTTATGTTAACAATTACTCATTTATTTTAGCCCTTTGTATTCAGCATGTCTATCAAAATCAAGTGCTAGTAAAAATAAATGAAAAATTGCTGATGAACATCGAAATTTCCAAGAAAAGTGGGAATTGGAGTATTTTTGCTGTGAAGTAAAAATTAAAATAATATGCTTGATATGTAGTAATGTATCAAAGTTATACAACATTCATTGTCACTATGAACAACATAAATCAAAATACAATAATTACGAAGGATTAATGAGACAAGAAAAGTTGAAAGAGCTCAAGTTGGGACGGAGAAAACAGTGCATGGGTTACTCCAGTGTCACAAGAAGCGGGATGCACGCAAGCTACTCTGGTCCGAGGCGATAGCTCAACACCTGAAACCTTTGACTGGAGGTGGTTTCATCGCGGAACGTCTAATTGAAACTGCAGAAACTGTCCTGGAAATGTGAGGTCTTTTCAATCTCTGTCTTAAAATACAGATGAGGAAGGAGTTACTGATTTGGCTGACAATTTAAGTATTCAGATCAAACCAAAATCATCTGGTTTCTAAGCTTTTTCCATTGCCTGTGACGAGAGTATGGACATTGGAGGCATAGCTCAGATAGCAGTGTTTCTTCATGCTTGCAACATGGATTTCAACATGTTTGAGGAATTATTGGAATACTAATGAATAACACTAATACAGGACAAAATATATTGTATTTTTAAACTTCTGCAAAAAATACAATCTACCTCTCAAAATTAACTTCTATAGCTACAGATGGAGTTCCTTCAAATGACTGGAAAAAACAATGGTTTTTGTGTCATTATTGCAAAAAAAAAAAAATGAAATTTATGACAAATCCAAGATTCATCATATGCATTGCATTATATCAAGAAGTATTATGCACGAAGGTAATAAACATGGAAAATGATGTTGACATCTATAAAAAAAAAAAGTATCAATTTCATAAGATCTCAAAGCTTAAATCAGCAACAGCTCTCTGCTTTCTTAAGTGAGTTAGCGGGTGTTCCGGCTTGTCCTCCTATAATAGTATGTTGGCTATCCTGCTCCATGGTTCTTAAACAATTCTGGGACTTGAAAGAAAAAATATGTCAGTTCTTAATAACTAAAAATCAAGACACAAGCCTGTTTTTTGACACAATATGGTTACAAGATTTATCTTTCATGGTTGATACAACAAAACACACAAATTAAACTTAAAGCTGCAAGGAAAAGATCAGATTACTACAAATGTGTGACCAAGTCAGAGCATCCACATGTAAGCTAGTTCTTTGGGGAAAGCAGTTGAAAATGAAGATTTAATGTACTTTCTGACATGCAACATGAACAAACCAAGTTTAGGTGAGACTACATCCATTCAAAAAATGTTAAGCCTTAGAACTGAATTTGAAACAAAGTTTGCAGATTTTAAATTTTTGGAAGACAAGTTTTCTTTTTCTTTAATTTTTTCAATAAATGTAGAATCAGTACCTAATCAAATGCAAATGGAGGTAATTGAGATCCAGTGTGGTTCAGATTTAAAGACAAAATTCAGTGAATTTGGCGTGCCTGAATTTTACAAACATTTACCTGCCAGCTTTGAAAATACTTGAAAATTCAAGTAAGAAATTATTTTCATGTTTTGGAAGTACTTATCGGTGTGAGCAGTTATTACATTTATGAAAGGAAATAAGTCTCCTGTCAGGTCCAGAATTACGGACACTCACCTTGGGGCAGTTTTGAAAGTAATGACTGCGAACAAGATTTCCGCCGAAGGAAAAAAGATAGTAGCAGAGTGTCAGGAAGACACTAATTTTATCGTTGCTCTTGTTTTATATATATATATACACTTTTCAGAATAAACCTATGTTTCTATAAAAATGAAGCTTTTGTTTTTTGTGGCCCACATAAACTTAAATCTTGTTTATTTGGCCCTTGCTACCCTTTAAGTTTGACATGCTTGCTCTAAATTGAAGCGAGCCACCAAGTGGCTAGCACAGAGAATTTTTAAAAACCCCATTGGACTAAGATATATCATTGTGACATTTCAGAAAATCAGGATAAAAAAAAATGATCCTAAAGGGTCCCAGAGAGAAAGGTCATATAGAATCGTTTAAGTATCAAAACATTTTTGAAATTCACAACAGTAACATCTGAAGCTGGAACACATTCCTGATGGGAAATATTTTTTTTCAGCCTAGAATCCTATACCCAGCCAAACTACCAATTCTATTAGAGGGTAAAGTATAAAGGCAGTTTCAGATATGAAGGCATGAAATTTACTTTCAGTGTGTCCTTTTTTTTAAAATATATTTTATTGATTTTTTTTAATATATTTTATTGATTTTGTACAGAGAGGAAGGGAGAGAGACAGTTAGAAACATCGATGAGAGTCATTGATCAGCTGCCTCTTGCACACCCCCTACCGGGGATATGCCCGCAACCAAGGTACATGCCCTTGACCGGAATCGAACCTGGAACCCTTCAGTCCCCAAGCCGACACTCTATCCATTGAGCAAACCGGTCTCGGCTGATTTTTTTTTTTTTTTTTTTTTTAACAGAGAGAAAGGGAAGGGGGGTAGAGAGGCAGAAACATTGATGAGAGAGAAACATCAATCAGCTGCCTCCTGCACAACTCCTACTGGGGATGTGCCTGCAACCAAGGTACATGCCCTTGACCAGAATCAAACCTGGAACCCTTCAGTCCGCAGGCCAATGCTCTATCCACTGAGCCAAACCAGTTAGAGCTAGAGTGCCCTTTCTTAAAAAGCTATAATAAGATATACTCACCCAGCTGGTGTGGCTCAGCGGTTGAGCATTAACCCAGGAACCAAGAGGTCACAGTTCGATTCCCAGTCAGGGCAGATGCCCAGGTTACAGGCACGATCCCAGTAGGAGGCTCTATCTTTCTCTCTAAAAATCAATAAAAACAAAAACAAAAAAAGATACACTATCAAAATGAGAGAGTAAACCCAGAAGGAGCTAGGTGGAATCCTGTGAGACACAAAGGAAATTCCCGGGATGATGGTAGAAGGGGCTCGTATAACCAGCACGCAACAGACCTACAGAGCAAGGAGTCCAGGTTGGAGTGACAGATGGAGACTTCCAGAAGGAACATTTCCCAAAATGCAGAACTGCTAGAAATTATCCTATTGGGAGTTTTACATTTCTGGTAAAGAGTTGTTTTCTTTTTTTTCTTTATTGATTAAGGCATTACATATGTGTCCTTATCTCTCCACCCCATTCCCACATCCCCCTGGTGTCTGCATCCGTTGGTTGTGCTGATATGCATGCATACAAGTCCTTTGGTTGATCTCTCCCCTTTGGTAAAGAGTTTTAGAAAGATTTAATGATAGGTTCTCTGAAAATAACAAAAAGACCCAAAAAGTTACGCTAAAATTTAGTTCACCTTTGTACAATGCAGGGTTAGTGACACCAACACCCCTTCACAGTGGAAAACCCACATAGAACTTTTGACTCCCTGGAAGTTAACTACTAATGGCCTACTGTTAACTGCAAGACTTACTGATAATAAAGTCGATTAACACATATGTATGTCTTACGTGTTATATACTATATTCTTAGAATAAAGTAAGCCAGAGAAAAGAAATGTTATTAAGAAAATCCTTAGGAAGCCCAGCCAGTGTGGCTTAGTGGTTGAGTGTGGACCCATGAACAAGGAGGTAACGGTTTGATTCTAGGCCAGAGCACAATTCCCAGTGGAGGGTTGTCCAGGAGGCAGCAGATCAGTGATTCTCTCATTATTAATGTTTCTATCCCTCCCCCTTCCTCTCTCTAAAATCAATTAAAAAAAAAAAAAAAAGAAAATCATAAGGAAGAGAAAAATACATTTAGAGTATTTATTGAAAAAAACCTGCATATAAGTGGACCCACGCAGTTCAAGGCTATATTGTTCAAGGGTCAACTGTATAAGCAAGGTCTTTCTTTCTGAATGGTAGTTTTTACATCTTACTTTTGCTTATCTATATTTTCTAATATTACTGCAATGAAAATGTACTAAAATTATTTACATAATCTTAAAAGTAGTAGTCCCCAGAGGTCTCCCAGCAAAACTCTAAGACGTAAGTGAAAGGTGGCTAATGGATTGAGGTTTCCGTCTGGCTTTCTTTGCAGAGATCAAGTCCCTCTTCGTGCACCCGTTCCTGGCCGAGCGCATCATCTCCATGCTCAACTACTTCCTGCAGCACCTGGTGGGCCCCAAGATGGGGGCCTTGAAAGTCAAGGACTTCAGTGAATTTGACTTCAAGCCCCAACAGCTCGTATCAGATATCTGCACGATCTACTTAAATCTTGGGTACTTGAGATTTAACTTGGGCAAGCCGGAGGGATGCCGATGTTTCCACTGGGGGTTGATAACGGGATGACGTGGAAGCAGAAAAGAAATGGTCCATTTTGTTGGTGAAAGAATCTCCTGTAGTTTTAAATGAGACTTTTGTGTCACCTGTGGAACATTATTCAGAATTTCCAACAGTCTGCCTTGGTCTGTGCAGAGAGAGATTTTGCTGGTTGTATGTTGTTTGGAAAAGCAGTATTCTTCCAAAGCCTCAGAATACTTGATAGACTTCCTTCCTAAAAATTAGAAGAAATGTTTATCAGAGAACATTCTTGGCATTTAAGTGGTGGGGACCCTTGTTCCTCAGCCCATTGCTTCCCTCCACTGATGCTCTTTCTTTCCCATGCTGACTTCAGGGCTGAGGAGAATTTCTGTGCCGCTGTGCCCAAGGACGGACGCTCCTACTCCCCCACTCTTCTTGCGCAGACAATCCGAGTCCTGAAGAAAATAAATAAGCCTGGGGATATGATTGTGGCTTTCACCAACTTAGCGGAGAGAATCAAGGTGAGGGGAGGAGGATTTGTTTGTTGGCATGTCCTGGAAGGCCCCACGGTTGCCCTGGCCAGTGTGGCTGTTTGTTGAGCGTTGTCCCGCGCACCAAAAGGCCGCGGTCTAATTCCTGCCAGGACACACACCCAGGCTGCAGGCTCCATCCCTGGTCAGGTGTGTATGGGAGGCAGCAGGTAGAAGTTTCTCTCCCCCTTCCTCTCTCTTTCAAAATCAATAAAAACTTTTTTTTATTATTACATTATTGACTCAGCTGTTGCCTTGAGAAAATATAAACATGATTAGTCAATAACTAGAACTACAGTATTCTTAATACTATTTTTGTGTTAGAGAGAGAGCAGGGAACAGAGAGAAACGTTGATACTTGTTGCTCTGCTTACTTATGCATTCATTGGTTGGTTCTTGTATGTGCCCTGACCAGGGTTCGAACCTGCAACCTTAGCATATCAAGACAATGCTCTAACCAACTGAGCCACCCAGCCAGGCAATACTACCTTTTTTTTTAGTTTCAGTTTATTGTGGGTTTTTGTTTTTCTTTTAATATGTTTTTTTGTTAATTTCTAGAGAGAGAGAAAGAAGGGAGAGATAGAAACATTGATGAGAGACAAACATGGCTGCCTCCTGCACACTCCCTACTGGGGATCAAACCCACAACTCAGTCATGTGCCCTGACCAGGAATTGAACTAGCAACCCTTTGGTACGTGCTCAACCACTGAGCCATACTGGCCAGGCAATACTACTTTCTTTAATGTTTAGAGAACAGAAAAATTGATTTAAGAAGCTTCTGCTAAGAGAAGAGTGTACAGATATTTGTAGGCTGTTTTATGAAAACATTTGTGCAGTGTCACCAATAGATTTGAAAATCTATGTTGTTAATGCTAAAAAGCAGAACTTCTTACAATAGAATTCATGATGAGTTGTTTTTAGTTACTGATTTTTATTGGTGTTCTCTGTTCTCTATATTTGTGGTTGGTAGTTGGCTTATGTGGGAATAGCCATCCATTTTAAAAATTAAAATCCTGCCGAAACCGGTTTGGCTCAGTGGTAGAGCGTCAGTCTGCGGACTGAAGAGTCCCAGTTCGATTCCGGTCAGGGGCATGTAACTTGGTTGCGGGCACATCTCCAGTGGGGAGTGTGCAGGAGGCAGCTGATCGATGACTCTCTCTCATCGATGTTTCTAACTCTCTATCCCTCTCTCTTCCTCTCTAAAAAACAATAAAATGTATTTTTTTAATTAAAAAATAAATAAAAAATTAAAATTAAAATCCTGTATTGTAGTTAGCTAATAATCCCTTTGTCTGGAGTATGACAGAGCTTCATTAGCAGTTATGAAAACAGAAAAATCATGGCACAGTGTCCGATAGAAAACTTTGTTGAATAAAGTCAGTTCTCCTTTTGTCAAGTTACTTATTTTTTGAGTTGGGCTTCATCTTTGCCTCCAGTTCAGCCAGACGGGGCCCTGAGGAACTAAAGTCATGAAAGAATCAAAGGTTGAAGGCACTTTTAAATTCTTACACCTGATTGTGCCTAACACCGGAACTTCATGAGTGACTGTAACTATGCAAATAACAGCCCTCCGGCTCCTCCCCTGTGGGATTATGACATTTACAACAGGACTTGCCAGAAAGATGTGTATCATGTGCTTCTTTCATTCTTAGTCATGACTGCCAGCAGCTGAGCCAAATGGAAGTTTCAGAATCGGGCTGGATGCTGAATGTGATCCCATAATATCCATCTTGGCCTGTTTAGAAACCAAGTTGAGAGTTGTTATTGTCACTGTGAAGGTCATTGCCTTTCAGATACACCCTTTCAGGTTCTATGCGCTTTAAGGGACAGGCATTGAGCATTTGGACCGTCCCCTGTGAATGCGCTCAGCGCTGCTGTTTGTGCTCAGTCTCTTGCAGACCTGCAGCAGCAGGAAGAGGAGACCTACGCGGACGCCTGCGACGAGTTCCTGGATCCCATCATGAGCACCCTGATGTCTGACCCCGTGGTGCTGCCGTCCTCCAGAGTCACTGTGGACAGGTCCACGATCGCCAGACACCTGCTCAGGTAGGCCCTCGGAAAGCAGCCTCGGGCCGGTGTGCACTGTCCTCTGGCTTTCTGGTTTCGGTGGAGCAGCCAGGAGGTGCCCCAGAGATGACTCTATATGGGATGGGGAGGCATTGGTAGAGTGTATCACTTAATTGTTAAGGATTTAAACATCCAAAGCATGACACCTTGTTGTAAAATACTGATCTAACCTTATCTATTCCTTCCTTAAGGAAATAATTTCTGTTAACATATGTTATAAAAAACTAGAGGCCCAGTGTACGAAATTCATGCAGGTGGGGGGAGCGCAGAAGGTGTCCCCTCAGCTGCCTGACTGCCTGGTCACCCCTAACTGCCCCCCTTGCAGGCCTGATTGCCCCTAATTGCCCCCCGCTGCCGGCCAGGTCACCGCCAACTGCCCCCCTGCCAGCCTGGTCACCCCCAACTGCTCTCCCTTCCTTCCCCCCCCCCCCCCCCGCCAGCCTAGTCGCTCCTCACGGACCCCCTGCCAGCCTTATTGCCCCCAACTGCACACCCCTCCGGCCTGGTCACCTCTTACTGCCCCTCCCCCCTGCTGGCCTGGTCACCCATCATGGCTCCCCCCCCCCCCACTGTCCTGGTCACTCCACTGCTTGTTCAGTTGTTTGGTCGTCCCTCACTAAGCCCCCTGCCTATCTGGTTGCCCCATGAAGCCTGCTTATTCAGTCTTTTGGTCTGACCCTGCCAGACTGACTGTAGGCAGCCATCTTGTGAGAGTGTGAGAGTTAATTTGCATATTACTTCTTTATTGTGTAGGATATTTGATTTCAGAGATGAGAGAGAGAGAGAGAGAGAGAGAGAGAGAGAGAGAGAGAGAGAGAAACATCAACAATGAGTGTGAATCATTGATTGGCTGCCTCCTGTGTGGCCCCATATGGGGGAGAAGGGGATCGAGCCTGGAACCCAGCATGTGCCCTTGGCCAGAATGAAACTCAGGACCCTTTAGTCTACAGGCTGATGCTCTATCCACTGAACCAAACCGGCTAGGGCAGCATTCTTTTTTTTTCTTAAAGAGACTCAAATTATGAAAGTGTCAGGCCCCATTTTGGGGGGATCTGTCCCTGTATGGTCATCTGACGTAAATATTATAATAGATGTTAAAGTGGATTTAAATTGCTTTAATTTTATAAAAATATAAAAGGTAGGGTGCCTTTTTATTCAGGCTTTACACGGTGTTCATCTCACGGTAACTCACATCGCTTGTTGTGTGCTGTCAGCCTGGTGTCCGGGGGCTCCCAGCTGCCGCGCTCCGGGCAGCATTGCCCAGAAAGGGTCTGAGAGACTCAGCCTGTTTAAAATCCAGTTATGAAAGTTGACCCAAATTTAAGGAAATACAATTTTGTAAATATTGGGAGGAAAGGATTTTCTATTTCATGGTATTTCGTATTAATATTCACTGTATGCATGATGCTGTGCTGGGTGGTACATCTTTTCAAAGTGTGAGTGAAAATTTATACTTTGTTGGGGCCTCAGAATAAAAAGGAGAAGATATGCCAGCCCTTAAAGTATGTAATAAACCTCCCTCCGTCAGGAAGCCCCCGCCTGCAGCTGCTAGGAGAGCAGTCAGCTGCGCCAGGGTCCGTTCCGAGGCTTCCCCCGCCGCCTGTCACTGAATCTGAGCTCCGCCCGCTGGCGTGCGTGCGCAGGGTCCCATCAAGGGAAACTGAACAGTGTTTAAATAAATTTTGTTTAGAAGCAGAAAGACAGGTAGCTAAATAATCTGAAAGGGGAAAAAAGAAAAACCTCCTGAATCATTCTTTCTAACCTAAAGTGAGCACTTAATTCAAATGCACCTAGCTTTAGTCTCCAAGTAAGATCCCAGGTATTCTAGTCTTGGCTTACGATGTAGAACTGATTCAAGTAACCCCATTTTCCTTTCTCTCTGTCCCAGTGACCAAACAGATCCCTTTAACCGTAGCCCCCTCACCATGGACCAGATCCGGCCAAACACAGAACTAAAGGAAAAAATCCAACGGTGGCTGGCAGAGAGGAAACAACAAAAGGAGCAACTTGAATAAATACTGTGACTAAAGCAACCAAAACCAGCCCCAGAGTGAAGATAAACAGTTGTTTGTGATTTCTCTTTGGTTCTGTCCCTTTTTTTTTTTTTTTTTTTTTTTTTTTTTTTTTTTTACTAAATTATTGCTCAAATTATGATAATTAAGATTCTTAAGAACTTGACAAGGCTCTCCTAGCTTACAGGAAATTTTAGTTATATCACCACCATGTCTGAGCATTATCACTAATTTTTACCCTGTGTTCTCTCTCCCTATTCCTTCTTCTCCCCTATCCTACCTTAAATTATATTAACTTCCACTGCTAACACTTCTGCCACCTTACTATTTTCTTCCAAGAACTGCTCATCTTTGGTGAGCACTGCTTTCAAGTATAGGAGGTCACATATGTCGGTGACAGCTGACATCGTCAGAAAGCCCTGTTGTCAGGGAATTGCCTAGTCTTCGTGGCGCAGACTGCGGCTCCTTTCTGTACCACTCTGCAGTTACAGGGCAACCTTCCACATCGAGGCAGGGAGCTGGGTGCCTGCGGGCACGGTAAGGTGGTAGATGAGATGGAAAAGAAAGGAATGGTATGCAGTTCTGTTGATAGCTCTTAATTTTGTATCATCTCCATAACTCAGAGATACAAACACTGTCCCATGGGGTTGTCTTTACCACAGAAAACAGCCCTACCATATTTTTGGGAAGATTGACAGGATAAACTTGCAGTTTTGACACCATCCACAAAATTCTGAGGTGAAAGAATAAAAGAGGCTGTTGAGCCCAATTTAGCTTATGGAAATCTGTTGCTGAGTAGAGAAGTTAGATAACGAATATGGTAAGCAGGAAAAATGCCATTTGAAGACACTAATATCAACAGTATATCTCAGTATATATATCATGTGTTTTTTATATTGGCGTAGTATAAGCAGTCCCACTTTAAATCGTCCTTCCATGGTAAGATATATACAGTGTGTGGCCACTAACACATTTTTCTAGATAAAATTCTGAGACTGTGAAATGTATATAGTTACTGTTTAAGCTTATGACCTCAATCCCAAGAACTGCTTCTAACTCAGCCTAGGTCAGCAGTTAACAAAGCATTTTAAATATCAACTTAGCCCCACATAGTTAGTAGGTGGGTGGGACCCCTTCTACAAGTTGAGCTTGAGTTCCCTACTCAGCTATGTAAGTGAGGCACAGTCCCCTATGGACGTCTATTTCACTGTCCCTCTAAGCCCACAGATACCCTAAGTGACAAGAAGAAGGGTATGATCTGGAAACAGGGATCATTGTTTCATTTAAAGGACATTAATGTTAACCATGGTGTCTTTCAAATAAGATGTCAGTCTCATAATATGTCAAGTTTCTATCAGCAGCCTTTGGCATGTTTTTGGTGGTATCAACTGGAAAAACACAAATAGAGGGCATCTCGCACCGTAGAAAGATGTTGCCTACTGCTGTGCTTAGAAGATGTGCAAATGCCAGGACATGAGAGAGGAATTCAGTGTAGCCTCCTGGGGTTGACAGAATTTGTTTATTTCCTTAAAATGAGCTTCATATTTATTAGCCTCCTTTACTGGGAATGAACTGTGTATAAAATAAGCTTCCACCACCTGGCATTTATTTTCCAAGCCCAAACACACAGGATGTTTTCTTTTTTAAAAGACCAGGTTTTTATAGGAGAAATTTGGAGGAAAAATGGGCACGAAACCTCAAAAGGCAGCATTCCCAGCAGCTTTCTAGTCAACAACCTGTGTTTGTATCTGTATCTGTATTCCTCTTCTGTCTTCAGATTGTAAGCCTTTTTCGGCAAGCTTTTTATTATTATTATTAAAACCCTTTTCCTGAAATTTATGAATGGCTGTGGCACCATTAATGCTGCTGAATGTCTTAAACTCATTACATAGCAAGTGTATAGCTTAAGGCCACTACTGGTAAGGAAGCCATATAATTTAAGAACATCCAAAAATGAGACTAAAAATTATTATTTTGGTACAACGCAGTGCATATGTGCACTTGGAAGCTTAACGAGGTATTTTGTTATCTGGAACTAAAAACCAGCTCAAAATCTACGAGAGCAAAAAAAAAAAAAAAAAATCTACGAGAGCAGACTCTCTGACATACCTAGTTTACTGTGTTGGCTTTGCTGGAGTATGATAGGAAAATGGAGACTCTTTAATCAGCTCTAATAGTCTTACTAAGAGGGTAATACTAAACTTGGGAAATGTAATAGGTTTCATCATGCAATCTGGGTTTTTTAAGATGGATATGTAAAACCTGAAAGAAATGTTATTAAAGGTTTCACACTTTACAGAAGCTTTACTTTATTTGACGCTGGTAAGTGGCCTGGGTGCCTTTGTCAGCCAGGCGCCCAGGCGGCGCTGTTGATGACACAAATACATAATGCACACGCTGTACCTGCCAAACAGGAGACGAACTTAAAGACAAAACTAAACCAACTGAAGAACAAAAAGGATGACTGAAATAAAACTTGATGGACATAACGGTGTTCTGAAACATTCCAGGAAGGTTATTTCTTGTCACTCTCACCTGGGGGTATTTGTTCAAAGCTTGTATTTAATAAATGAATACTTAACTTATAACCTTTGTCATCACTTCCTTTATTACAGTATTAAAAGCTCGTGGCAGTTTAAAGGACTCTGATCTTCCTTTTTGTTCAAGGTAGTTTCAGATTGTGACCGGCTGACCTCATCTGCCTGTAGTTATCTCTGAAGGTGAGCCTCCTAATCAGTTCCCTTTGGGCTTCCTCCTCCTTTATCTGCCTAAACTGTCTTTCATTCCAATCACTGACTTCATGCCCCCCTTGCCCCGCGTTTCTTTCTTTCTTTTTTTTTAATATATTTTATTGATTTTGTACGGAGAGGAAGGGAGAGAGATACAAAGTCAGAAACATCGATGAGAGAGAGTCATCCATCAGCTGCCTCTTGCACACCCCCTACTAGGGATATGCATGCCCTTGACCGGAATCGAACCCGGGACCCTTCAGTCCCCAAGCCAACGCTCTATCCATTGAGCCAAACCGGTCTGGGCGCCCCGCGTTTCTGTACTCTCTGCCTTGTAAGACCTCAGCCTCGGTTAACCCAACCATTCCCGTCCCAATATCCAAACTACAGACCATTGTTGGAGAAAGATGACAATCTTTAGAACTCTGCAACCATAAACTGTGGTTTCTAACATTGCCCAAAACTGTGTGTCCCTGACTTCAATAGCTATTCCAAACCTCAACCTCTTCTCACATTCTTACCCTTCACGCTCAGATGACCTTGCCTTCTGATTCACTAGAAAGATGTAGACCCAGCCGAAACCGGTGTGGCTCAGAAGACAGAGTGTAGTCCTGCGGACTGAAGGTTCCCGGGTTCGTTTCTGGTCAAGGGCATGTACCTTGGCTGCAGGCATTGGGGGGGGGGGGGGGGGGGAGGCGGCTGATCGATGTTTCTCACTCGATCCCTCTCCCTCTCTGTAAAAAATCAAGATATATTTTTAAAAAATATATAGACCCAGAATTTTCACTTTCAAAAATCCTCTCCCATCACCCCACCTTTGGAAAAGGCCCCTTTCCAGGGCTAATCCCTGCAGCCTCCACCCCCTTCTCTATCTTCAGTCTCTCCTTTGACCTCCACATCCGTTTGGTTTTCTCACTTGTTTTCCTTTATAGCCATGTTTCTTCATTCACTCTGACTTCTAATTTTTTGAAACTGCTCCAGCTAATGTTTCCATATTGCCAAATTAACTTCCCCATCCTTAATTGACCTCTCTTTTGTTTAAGACAGCTGAATTATTCCACTGAAATCCTGCTCTTGGCTCCTAATTTTTCTTCCCACCTCTATTCCATCAACCCAAAAGTTTTCTCAGGCTTTTCCCCAGGGTAGTTATAATTTTGTTTTTCAAGTGCCACTTCCCTACTTCATGTTTTCTTCCAGTCGTGTTCAACTATAAAGTTTCAACTCTTTGTGGTAGTCGTCCAGTTATACATCAATTCAACGTTCTGCAGGTCAGCAACCCGCCTAACCGATAAGTTGTCTGTTTACATTGCAACCTCTTCTGATCCCGTCTCTGCCATTCACTAGCTACGTGGCCGTTTATTAACTTACAGACTTTCTTTATATTCCAGAGTGCCTGGCATACTGGGAGTCCTCAGTAAACGTGAGTTTGTACCTCTTATCTGCTGGTTAGGGATTTGGTGGAATTGGAATCCAACCTGATAAGAGAACGAGGGGGAACGGGAATCCCAGAACATCAGCTAAAGAAAGGCTGTGGGGCGCCTGCTCTGCCCCGGACTTGACATGTTTGGTCGTTTAGCCGGAGCCTCTCTGGCTTTGCAAAGCGCTCGCGCTGGCCTACAAGGACCAGCGCAAGCCCGCATTCCCCACGTTCTCCAAAGCGCAGCACCTCCGGCAGGAGAATGGAGGCGGGTCCAGGGAGGCGGGAGGCGCAGGACGCAAGCGCATCTCCTCCCCTCCCGCCTTCCGGCTCCGGGCCGGCGGGTCCTAGGAACCTTTCGGCGCACGCACTTCTCTTCCCCTCGCCGTCTTCCGGTTCCGGGCGGAGGGGCGGAAGAGTAGGGGACGGATATAGAGAGCCGCAGGGCGCATGCGCCTCACCTCCCCTCGCCGTTTTCCGGCACCGGGCGGAAGAGGGGAGGGGGGGAGGGAAACGGGTCCAGAGAGCCGCAGGGCGCATGCGCTTCTCCTCCCTTCGCTGTCTTCCGGCTCCGGGCGGCGGGGCGGAAAAGTGGGGAACGAGTCCCGAGAACCGCAGAGCGCATGCGCCTCTCCTCCCTTCGCCGTCTTCCGGCTCCCGGCGGCGGGGCGGAAGAGTGGGGGCGGGTACAGAGAGTCTCAGGGCGCATGCACTGCCTTCCGGCTCCGGGCGGCTGCCCCAAGAAGTGCCTGCTTGTCCGAGAATTCTGGGTTCTCCTCGAAGACTCTCGCCCTTTCGTGCCCTCGTTCCTGTGTGGCTGAAGAAGTTATATTTACCAGCTGGATTCCGGAAGAGCCGTGGGACACCAATATCGTGGGCCGGCGCGAGGAGGACGGCCTGACCTTGGACGCGGAGCGGGGTCCTTCGGCGGGTCCTTGCGAGGGTGACTTTCAGCCGGCGGTGCTGCCGCAGTGTCCCTCCCGGCGCCATGGCCCAGTTTGTCCGGAACCTCGCGGAGAAGGGCCCCGCGCTGGTGAACGGTGAGCGCGGCGGAGCCTGCCCTGGGGTGGGGGTGTGGGGCGCGGCTCTGCGGGGACCTCTGGGAAAGGGCCCGGTGTGTGCGGGGACAGGAAGGCCTCGCCGCCTCGCTCGCTTCACGGCTGCAGAAGCTCTTCAGGCTGCGTGACTTTGTGGACGTTGACTTTGCTTTCTGTACTGGCCAGATCCTGGGAGGATTTCTTAAATATATGCTTTTAATGATTTCAGAGAGGGGCATGAGTGATGAGAGTCATTGGCTGGCTGCTTCCTGCCCGCGCGCCCACTGGGGGTCGAACCTGCAACCCGGGCCTGTGCCCGACCGGACTGACCTCCTGGCTCATAGGTCAGTGCTCAGCCACTGAGCACGCCCGGCCCTGGGAGGGTTTGTAGGTGGAATTGGGTTTCAGGGACGAATGTCCCCGGCCCAGGAAGCATAAAAACGGGTTGTGAACTAGTCTTATTCCTATAGTTGAGCGCCCGTGGGTGTTTCCGTTAGGAAAGGCGCGGCGTGGCCGGGGGGCAGTGTGTCAGCCCCCGGGCGGCGCGCTCCCCCCGGAGGGACGCGCGGGGCGAGGAGCGCTCACGGGATGGAGGCGGCCAGGCTGGGCTGAGCGCGGACCTCTCGGCAGCGTTCGCTCACATTTGATTATGACATGTGAATAGACTTTTTAAAATACACGGTTATTGGTATTTTCTACTTATTCTCTCTCGCCTTTCCTCCCTCGGCAGACAATGAGTGAGTGAAGGCCTTATGGTGGCAGGTACTATAAATAACTATTCTCTCCTGCAGTCTAATAGTTTACACATTTTCCCAAAGAACTTAGGATTGCAACTTTACTGAGATCATCAAGGCATCTGGATGACAAAGCTCTACAATTTTACATAAAGATAGAAGGAATAAGGGCTTCATTCTTTGGACTTCGAATGATATGAGGGAAGATTTTTTAAGTTTCAAGTGGCTTTCACATCATTTAGATTGTGTGTGTGGGTGAATTTTAATAATAAAATCCAAAAATTAAAGGTAATACAAAAATAACTTTATCATGAAATAGGTAAATTCTTTCCTCAATTGTGAATAATTGGAAGATAATGGTGATTATTCTTACAAAAGTACTAAGAAAGAAGAAGTCAACTGGGGTCAGAAGGTGAAAGTGGAAATATATTTTGCTTTATAATATAACTCAGCTTATGAAATGTGAATATTAAATGACTGATTAAAAGTACTGTATCTGTTAATTCCCTTGAAGGACAAAGAATCTTACAAATAAGTAATGTTAGCATTAAATTTCCCCACAAAGTTCAGAGTATCTTTTTTTTTCCTTTTTACTAAACTTGATACTTTATTTGGATTTCACCCTTTTCTTTTTAAAATATATTTTTATTGATTTCAGAGAGGAAGTGAGAGAAGAGATAGCAACATCTTTGAGAGAAAATCACTGATCAGCTGCTCCTGCACACCACACTCGGGTTGAGCCCACAATCCAGGCCTGTGTCCTGACCAAGAATCAAACCTTGGACCCTTCAGTCTGCAGGCTGATGCTCTATCCACTGAGCCACACTGGCTAGGGCTCACTCATTTTTTTATTAATCTTTTTGTTACAAGAGCCATTCCAGGGTGCCACCTTGCATTTTGTCAATCTCCCTACCTCCTGCGGTGTGACAATTTTCCAATATTTCATGACTTTGACAGTTTAAAGGTAT